TTATCGAAGTTAGGTTAGTCACTTCATGGTAATAAATGTATGTTGTTAAACATTTCATAAACGGATTTAACACTTACTCTATATTAACTATGCAGGAAGTAGCAAGTTACACTTAAGCGGTCAGAGTGCCATATTACTACGTTGTTTATGGTTCAATAAAAGTTCAAAACATTTATCGTGTATTGTAAAATCTTACTTCTTGCTAATATAAATGCTAATGTTTGGATGGATGTTTGTTTAAAGGTAACTTCAGAATGGATCAACGGATCTTGATGAAATTTGGCACAGATGTAGAGCATAGTCCGGAAGGACACATAGGCTAGTAATTTAGTTTTCTTTAGCTACGCGCGGATTTGGCCGTGGGCGACAGCTAGTTTTAAATATTGTTATATTGATTACTTTAGACGTGAGATTCAACTACCAAATATACCTTGAATTCTCTCCAAAAACATTTATTTAAGCATTAGATTTTCTTTTACATTGTGCATACATACCCTTTAAATTAAAAATGCAAGTGACGAATGCGTATTTAGACAGGGGAAATATTTTGTACTAAGGTCTAGTATCATCATTAGCTCACTATACGTCCCCCACTGATGGTCTCGAAGTCTACCCTATGTCAGGGGTGACTAGGCCAGAGTCAACCACGCTGGCTTAGTGCGGGTTCGACTTCACACATCTCTTCTCAGATATGTGCAGGTTTTTTTTTTTTTTTTTTATTGGGCGGCGCTATGCCGCCCTCTCGTTCCCCTAACATGAGGATCAGGGACGTTGGGGTACGGAATCTTTTTTGTCTTTATTTAAATAAGTTTTTCAGAATGTTAAAGTTTTCGATTTTTTCTTACGCTATTTACATTTTTCATTGAAATAAATTACTAATTAAAACAATTTAAAATTACAATTTAAAAATACAGATTAAAATACAAATTAAAAATACATGATAAAATACAAAGTAAGTTAAAATTCCTTGAACTTGTGCAAGTATTCGGAGAACCCCCCGTGCCCGGTTAAAACTTGAACCAGCACGGGGTCCAACTCTAGGCTCCGGATTGTAGGGTAGGCTGCTACGGCATCGGGGAAGAATAGCTTCGTCGTTGAGGCCGTGACTCCTTCCATATAACGCCTGTTCCATTTGTCAAGCGCATCCAGACGAATCTGTCGCTTGACAAATGAAACAGGGCACCTTTCATAATTAGGCTTGGTCTTCATCCCGTCTGCGGCCGCCTTCGCGAGTTCGTCTGCTCGTTCGTTTCCCTCCAGCCCCGCGTGCGCTTTTACCCAGAAAACTTTCACACATTTCCCTTGCTGATATGTGCAGGTTGCATCACGATGTTTTCTTTCACCGTAACAACGTCGGATAAATGTACATATGTAAATCGAAAAACACATTGGTACATAGCGGGATTTGACCCAGGACCTGCAGATTGCAAGTCAAATGCTGAGCCACCGATCCTCGACGACCGAAGGTCTAGTATGGTTTAGTATAAAGTATCACTTCGAATTGGTATGTTTGTATTACGTAATTTTATGAAGTCTGAGAAGTTATAAACACATCACGTAATGTTCTGTATATAAACAATATAAATTTAATTTGTACCACCATCATAGACTTTGTACACGTAAGGATTCAGTCGCACTAAAATGTTGTTCAAATACAAAGAAGGAAAGGGACGGACTATACCTTTTGAATATTTTATTTTACTTACATACCGTCGAATACAGGTCTCGGTTAGACGTCACTTTGCTGCCCTTATTTTTAATGCATTGCTTAAAAAAACAATATTCTACAATTGAATAAATAAGTCATGCGATCAATATTAAATAGCATTTGAATACAAGAAAAATCTCGAGTTAACTTGACTCGTAAATAAACAAGGAATGTTTGATCGTTCAATTTATGAAGACGTGAATAAACTATCCTTATAGTTTTACTGACTTCGTCACTAATACACAAGACACGATTATATCAATGTAACTGACTCGTTATAGTATATTAAAAATCAATAACAGACTTTACATGTAAGTTTTTGAGTTCACGAAAATTAGTCAGCTTTTCTGTCATGAACTCAAAAACTATTTAACGTATTTAACTATGGTTTTCATAAAAAGTGTAGTGTTTAACATGACCTAGGGTCCTTCAAGAAGCGAGCGTATCACCATCTCAAAAGCCAGCAACGCATCTACGGTTCCTCTGATATTGCTGATGTCCATGCGCGTCGATGAACATATCGGTTTTCCCGCTGCTCGTTTGCCTCCTTTTCTTGTAAATAAAAACTTAGGTTACTCAGAAGACTTAAGGGTTGTTAGATTTCAACAAAAATAAATTAAATAAAATGTAATGCGCCACTTTTTACGATTCCATCGTTACCATCGATCGGAACTATAGCATTCTCCAGTCGCATAGAGCGTTGTGATTAGTCACAATGTCATTGACCCGAGATCTCCCTAACGTGTGATTCAGGCGTCGATTTTACTAAGAAATATTTGAACGGAATTGCAATGCTTAACATTAACCGGTCGTTTTTTTTTAAATACCAAATTACTTTATTTAATTACCAGCTCCAAGTAGTAGTGAATTGTCATATTTTTATAATTTAGAAACTAGAATTTGAACTCGGTGACCTCAATTGAATGTAAATATGGCTTCTGACGATCGTTTTTTGAGGTCTTTCATTTAGCTTGAACTTACGTGCTTAAAACTGTTTCTTTATACAGAAAGAAAACAATTATACGCGTATCTATAGCCGTGACGTTATAACGTGAACTAGTTTTGTCGTCAGACATGCCACTGTCGATAGCTTCACAGGAACGTGTTACAACCAGTTTACCCAACTTTTATTACATCAAAATAATGGCAAGGATAAAGAATAAAAAAAATATTAAGATATTAATTTTAAATGTATAGTCCAGCTGTTTAGTTATAATTGTAGTTAAAATGAAGGTGTGTAGCCGGCTTTATAATATTGTCGTCGCTTTTGTTTCCTTTAAAAAAAAAACAAGGATAACAATGTACAATAATTCCGGCAGTCGAACCTGGATAGGGGAGAATACTCCAAACCAAGAACCTCGGATTAATGAGAAATCTCTATAAAGGAGAAAAATATGACTATATGATTCAACTTGTTTCTACCGCATACAACTTTGTTAAGCTAATGAAGAGTTACGTATGTTTATAGGCTATTGTGTTGGTTTGGTAGTTGATAAAATAATTATCAATTAATGATAATGAGGAACTTTATCATTGAATCGACGTTATTTATCACTCATGAAAATACATTCGCGAGTAAGAGATTAATGTATTCCAAACTATCTTAGGATTACACATATAATCAAAAATTGCATCAAAATAACTGCTAAATACTGCAATTCGTTAGTTATCTGAGTGAGGGATCGATGGACCTTGAGTTTCTCCCGTTTTATGGAAACTTAAGTACTAGGTTATTCAGCTGTCATGGCTCTATATAATTCACAATAGTGGTAACCTTGTCGATCATGAATAATTTTAACGTAGTGAGACGTAGACGAAGTAGAAGAAATAAAATTAGTTATGGTCGTCATGAGTAACTATGCTTGTTTAATCGATATCATATGTGATCTATTTAAAAATGGTGGTCGTCCATTGTTCGAAAATTGAACGTAATTCGATTTTTTTTTAATAAATAGCTTTCTTTATGTTAATACTTTTCCGCCTTCACCTTGACTATTATGTTCATTCGTGTCTGCAAATTCCTTCAAAAGGGGGTTAAAGTTTTTGCTTTACATGTTAATATGAATATAGGAGAAAAACAGTAGAATAAATCATAATTAATTTATTTATTCGAAGGAACATAACAAATATTTGATTTGATGTTATATACAACAGAGGACTTTATTTGGACATATAACCCGGTATCGTATACCTACGTTCTATTACAGCTATTTTTAACGACCGTCTCGACACTCTCCAGTAGCATCGCACAATAAACCTGTGTTGATATTCAAAAGTAGTTGAGTGTTAAGACCGTTCCACACCAAATGCGAAGATGCTATAAAGCTATTAGGGCTATAGCTAAGGAAACGTGATGAAAGTAAAAAAAGTTAAACCACAAAATCGCTTTAATTTTTTTTCAGTTTATCAGGAACAAACCATTGAATATTTTATTTTTATAATTTTAGTAGCTGTCACTCGGGACTCTGTCCGAGCGGAATTAAAAAACAAACAAAATTTGTAGACTATCTGTTCTTCCACACTATGTTCTATCCCAAATTTCAGCGAGATCCATGCAGCCGATCTAGAGATATCTTCTAACAAACATCCATTCATCAATCCGTGCAAACATTCGCATTTATAATATTAGTAAGATAGTAGGTAAACGTATTTCACATGTGTTTCTGAATACGAAACAAAGAGAAAGAAATCATAGTATTCCACAGCTTTCCGCGTACTCTTTTATAAACAAAACATGGCAGAGAAATTAATCACGTCTTTATCAATTCAATGATTGGCATTGTTATGAAAGGTTACGTTACGTTACGTAGAAATGTGTTTCGATTTTAATTTTATCAATTACAATGTTAAGCCGATGGTAGATAATGCTTTCCTTTTATGGAATTAAGGATGGTGATGATATTGACTGATATTTATGCACATTCATTTTATAAATATTATAAACGTAAACATTTAGATGTATGGATGGATGCTTGAAGGTTTCCCCAGAAAGGCTTAATGGATCTGTACGAAATTTGGCATGGATGTTGAACACAATCTTTCAGACTACAATACAATTAAGAAGAAAAATTCCTCTCCTTCCTCCGCACGGAATGCCAGACATGGCAAGCTAGTAATATTTAGTATAGTAAGTCTCTTCACCGCGCGTTCTTTATCTAAGAAAATAGTAAAATGTATCCGTCTTTGTGTACAAACGCCTTAATGTAGTTGATTAGTCACGTCCATAAATTCAGTATTTAACGACGTTATAGAGAGGACGTTTGTGTAATATTGCTGTTTTTTTTGTTCCCAGGGAAGAACCTCTACAACAATGAACATGTAGCGATTAAGATGGAGCCTATGAAGTCCAAGGCTCCACAACTACATCTAGAGTACCGATTTTACAAGTTACTAGGCACGCACGGTGAGTATTACATGGACGTAACATTCGTAATGTACAGTCGCATACATAAATAATACGTACTAAAGTTCTTAATAAATAAAACGAAGACTAAGCTGAATATTATGCTGGTACTGATGTAAATACAACTTGCAAAAACAATTTTGCAATTTTAACGTTTCAATGGTGATAAAATGGTGTGTAAAGGAAAAATATGTACCACCATTGCTCTAGTTTATTTTCTAGCTGTACTTCTATAGCTTTTCTACTATAACTGACAATAAATCCTCAATTTAATTCTTTACAAAGAGTATACTGCAAGCGACTGTACATCACGTAACTTTCATAGAGTACTCGTAACTCGTAGTCAAAGGCCGCTAACGACAGGTAATTGTTTATATGCACGCCAATTAGCATAGCTGAGTAACATGCAATATGTTTGTGTGACGATTTTTTTTACGCCAGTGACGAAATATTAGACATACAACGGTATTGCGTGCTTTACCGTAAATTTCCATAGTCTTGTAATGCTTGTAAAAAAATATTGTTATCTCTTCTTTTTTTACATAGAATGGGAGAGATGACAATATGTTTTTATACGTGTCTTTTACTAGTGGAAACCTACCTAAGATAGGTTTATTGTAGAACAATAAAAATATGTCATAACCGAGATATTATAGACTTTGTTTTATCTCATTTAAATAAAAGTGACATCGAAAACGTTTTTTGTTTACATTTGTACGTCATTTGATATGAGATTAATTAAAAAAGATATGTAAGCGATCTTTATGTTCATGAATAAAAGCCATACTCAAAGAAATGTATAAGATATCAGATAGGAAAACAGATTCTTAATTATTGTAACATCACGAGATATTTACTATTGAGTCTAATTCACTTATACCCTCGTAAACGTATTTCATAGTTATGAATTTAGTAGTTTTGGTTACATTGATATTAATATGTATCTTAGAGGGAATACCAAAAGTGTACTACTTGGGAACATGTGGCGGCCGATACAACGCCATGGTCATGGAGTTGTTAGGGCCCTCGCTAGAAGATCTTTTTGTTCATTGCGGCCGAAGGTTCCGGCTCAAGACGGTTCTATTGATAGCAATGCAACTTGTAAGTGCCATCAGCCACCATTGGTACTAACGTAGTTAGGTGATTGTTTTATAGACACAACACCGTAACCGATATACGATTGTGATAAAATTTTCGGATCTCGCGAGGGCACGCAACCTGTGATCATGGATGTTAATTCGGGTTGCTGACTGTTTTATTATTCTATTCGTTTGTCGTAGCAATGCTCTTGCGCTTTGACCTGTTTTTTTTTTAATCGTTTATCGGGTATTGTGTTGTGTCGAGCAGGTGTGCAAGCGAGAGCAATGCTCGTTGTTAACGTGAGTACTAATTTATTACGTCCCTCCTCTCCTATCCGTTCCCTTGTCCCCTGGCCGTGGTCCTTCAGCCCCGTCGACAGCGGAAGGTATCCCCGAGGTGTACTACTTCGGGCCGTGCGGTAAATACAATGCCCTCGTGATGGAGCTCCTGGGTCCGTCGCTGGAGGATCTCTTCGATCTGTGCGGCCGACGATTCTCTCTAAAGACTGTATTAATGATCGCCATGCAGTTGGTAAGTACATCACTAGTTTGGTACAGTCGCGCACAAATGCTTATTAAAATTTTTATTTTTAAGAAATCAAAATAAAATTTAAGCGCGTGACTGTACAAATAATTTTGTAGATACTGTCAAGTATAAGTATGTTCTCTTATTAAATTGTAAGAAGTAACCTATAATAGATGATACAAGATTCTTGTAGCCAGTTATTCTAACTAGGGGCCGGATGACGACTCGTTATTATCCTTCAGGCCGGACAGAATACATTGTTGCGAGTTGAACCAAAGGTATAATTGTAGTAACTCACTACCCTGTTACTGTTATTGTTTTTTTTTACATATTTTGTCAAATGTCGGTGAAAAAATAATATATGAACATTATTTTTATAAGCTAGATAAATGAAAAAGGTTACAATAGTGAATATATTCCCTCTACTGAACTTAGGTTATTGTTCTTATACTATATTGTGAATGTGTAATTTCCAGCTGCACCGCATCGAGTATGTCCACACGAGGCACCTCATATACCGAGACGTGAAACCGGAGAATTTTTTAATAGGTAGAGCATCCACTAAACGAGAAAAAGTCATTCACATCATTGGTAAGTGAATTTTTATGAACTGTTTCTGTCTCAAAACGTATCCCTTTGGTTAACATTGCTTAACGCCTTTTTATATCATAAGGTGGAAAACGAGCAAACGGCCACCTGAAATCGTTGAAATGGCGTAGCGACCGTTACCCATATACTTACGCAGTTGCAGATGCGTTGCCTACCTTTAGTCGACCGATGAGGGGATGCACAGAAAGAGAATATTTTTCCTTTCCATGCATCCCCTTATCCGGAAAATCCACTTCCACTTCCCATCTTTTCCTTATAAAAAAAAGGTTGGGAAGGGAAAGAGGACTTTAATTAGGCCTTTTATTATTAGAGATGTTGTACAAATGTTTCGACACTGGAAGGGTTACCGTAATATCTCGCTATGCGCGATAAATCGGATGTTTTCTCTGCTCTAGTTTTATATGAAGTTTGCCGCAGTATAAATGCACGGTGCTTATGTTTAATGTAACATGTAATCGTTCTTTTAAATTATCTTTTTTTTTATTTAAAACTTTCAACAAATATGCTTGATTTTTTATATTTTAGGCTTTGTTTAAGACATTCAAACAAGGAATAGATGCCGTAATGCATTTGGCTCCGTTATTTTTCGTATTTTTTTATATACAGGAAACGTCATCTACAGATTCTTGGTTAGTGCTCTTTTTGCACATATTCCTTAGGCTAAATGACTAGTGAATTTTATAATATATGGTATTTCTGTCTAGGATCTTGGTTATTACAAGTCGTTTATCGTTACGGAAGCTAATGTTTTGTATAGCTACATTTCACACATTGTATAGTTGCATTTCACACTACTTTCACATGTTAAACCACACTGTACTCTAACCGCACGTTAGCGGTACTGTTTCTCTATATTACGTATACTATGGTTGACAAACTTTCGGATAAGTACGGTTACTTTCGGTCACTTAATTACCCTAACTACGATCTTGAAATTGAAAGGTACTCATTAATACGTTAAATACGGTATATTAGGAGATTTGATGGTTGTTAGGAAATGAGTTAGGCTATTTCTATATCTACCGTTGAGGTGAATGAGCTCCGAATTTTAGACTTGGGCTCAGGCGCAGAACCGCAAAAAGAAAAATACTTATTGTCGGAGGTCAACGGTCTTAGGGTTCATGTGCCATTATGAGTAGATATTTCGATGTTAGTCCATTCTTAGGCTGTTTTGTCTGTGAGAATCGTCAGATTCGGTAACATGAATAACAATGTTATAGTGCACGGAATTCGCTATAACGTTGCAAATTTGCAGTAACAATTCAATATATCTGAACTAATATTATAAGTGAATAAAAAGTAACGTTCTTTTTTATTGTCCCATTTTCGACTGGCGATGATGACCACGGACGAAGTGTCTTTCTTGCATTGATGAAATCAATTACGACCTCATTTCAATAAAGGTCGCAAACGACCAAAAGGACCAGGTTACCGAGTTGCCACTGCTGTAACACATTAAGAAAAATATTGTCTTCCCCTTCATTCTCATTGAAAAACATGAGTTGAGATAACAATAAGTTTTTGGACTAGTCTTTCGGTAGTAGTAATCCACGGTTTAGGACGGGACAGTTGTACCTGTAATTCTTGACTTTTTTATATTTTCGCACGTCTCTTTGGTGCAATAAATAAAAATGTTGATCTTATAGCGTCAAGCCTAAAAATGCATTCGAATTGAATTGAAATTTTCCCCTTTTGGAGTATGCTGTAACGTTCACTGTTTGATTTTCTGTTTGACACTTTTTCATTCGTTCCATCGGTGTAAAGTTTAATCCGATTTTCAGCTGCAGCATGGAACATAGGATTCCATGCGTCTTGTATAATACAATGCGGCAAAACGTTAACGGCTTTTGGTTTGCTGAATGCACTATTTAGTTTCCAGGGTGGTACAACGTGATAATTGTAAATGGATGGATGGATGGCTGGATGTTTGTTTAAGATATCTCCCGTACCGGTTAACGGATCTCGCTGAAATTTAGCATAGTCTGGTAGGCTACTTCTTAAAGTTTTTAGGGTTCCGTACCTCATAGAAAAAAAACGGAACCCTTATAGGATCACATTTTATTGTCCGTCCGTCTGTCTGTCAAGACTTTTTCTGAAAAACGCGTAAAGGTATCAAGCTGGTATTTACTTTGATTCCGCGCGGACGAAGTCGCGGACGATAGCTAGTTATTTATAAACGGTTTAATAATTTGTATGTCAATCATGTTATAGAAATCGAAAAAGTCGATTGAGAAAAATCTCATGTCTTGACCTTTTAGTAAATGACACATCTGTGGATCTGAGGATAATTCGGGACGACCAAATTGCTAATTAACCTCAGATATGAACGTGAAAGTAGGCTAACGTTGGCTCTTACGTAGGTTATCCGTTATTTTTTCGCATTGGAGTTTTACCTTCTTTTCATGTACGCCTAATCAGCTATATGATTTCGGTTGGATGATTAGATTCTATGCGTATATATTTGTCTAATTATTGTCAGCCATATAATTGTGTTTAGGCAATGAAAACCTACTACTAATGCTTTTCTTTCGACGTAATAAGTACATAAATATCAACGATGAAGTTTTTTCTTTTGTCTCCCTCTTTTCTCTTTCTACAAATATTCAAAAATACTAATAGTAACGTCGTGAAACTATGATTTGAGACATGTACGGAAACAATCATTTCTGTCGATCCGTTGATAATGTCATGATGCAATTCGCTTTCTTTTTTTTTTACATAATCTGTAACACAATTACACCTCGACTCGCCCGTGTTACAATTTACAGTTTATCTGATTTTTTTGTCTAGATATTTTTACTGCAGTAAATGTAGCTGTCAGTTTCCACTGACTTAATATCTGTATAAAACATATTGATGTCTCAATTAACTTTAAACAAAATAAACGGGATGACAATATGTTCTGTGTTAGTCTAATAAAAGTTCAATTTTAATAACATTTTTTATTTTATTTATCATAAAAAGTCTTATTAAACTTTATAGTTATTTGTCAAGATTTATTCCTCTGTGGTTTCGATGACGACTAGCAAAGCTAAATATACCTTTCAAGTTATTTGAAGTGATGAGAATAGATAAGGCGGGAGGCTTTTAGCCCACGCCTTAGGGACCGATAAGTCCTCGCAATCCGTCGCCGAGGCGTCCCGGCTGGATTTAATATAAGCTATTAATAGATAAATCAAAGAGAACTTACTCCACGTGCAAATATATGTTCAAGTTAAAGACATATAATGTCAAATTAATAATAAGCGATATCACTACGCTTGCGAACCTACGGAGTAAGCAGAGATAATTATATATACGGCATATTTCTAGTTTTTTTTAGCTTCCAGGAGTTAGTTATATGGCAACTAATTTCGTTTTTTTTCCACAAGTGTATAGTATGGTTTGGATAAGAATATACGTGTCAATGATCTCGATCTGTCAAAAATGTCTTGAAAAGTACAGTCTTCAAAAAATGATTGAATAAATGTTATGTTTTATTTTGAACACAGTGATTCGGATTAAAAATAAATATTTAAAAACAATTTTTTTACTGACTTATCTTTTGAACTAAGACGTCACAATGCGCAATAGTGTTACACTATCTTGCATATTCTTGTTTGAAATGCATAGTACTTATGACAGAAAAAAGCTTGTAAAAACTGCACTGTTTAGTTAATATTTAATTGATTTTTTTTTGTTTTCAGATTTCGGTTTGGCCAAAGAATATATAGACTTAGAGACAAACAAACATATCCCATATCGGGAGCACAAGTCGCTCACCGGGACCGCGAGATACATGTCAATAAATACACATTTAGGGAAAGGTGAGACATTTTTCCTCTTTCTCTATATTATCCATTATAATTTATACGCTTCCCATGTCATAGTCTACGAGAACAAATTGTAAATGGATTAAGATGTCTGCAGAAATTAAACGGCGTTCAAAAAGGTTAATTTTGTCTTTGAATATCGCCAAGGATTGCGTTCCTTCTGTTGGGAAGGAAATCCGAAAATGTTCCAATGTTTACGCAACACTAGCCTTACTAAAATGTCGACGTTTATGTCCCCTCACAATTCAGTCTGACACTGGACTTTGTAACGAAAGGGTGCCATTCGCGCCAAATGATTCTAACTAATAATGTCTAAAACTTCAAATAAAAAAACAAAATACACTTTGACAACACAATTTTCATAGTAATTAATGAATTTATTATGTTTCCAGAACAATCGAGACGCGACGACCTAGAAGCCCTCGGGCATATGTTTATGTATTTTTTACGTGGTTCCTTACCCTGGCAGGGATTAAAAGCTGATACACTTAAAGAGAGATACCAAAAAATCGGCGATACCAAACGGGCAACACCTATTGAGGTTAGTTACATGACCAAAAACAATCATTTAACTGTCATCATCAGCTCACTATACCCCCACTTAAGGAATCTGAGCCTACCCTAAGTTACAGGTGACTAGGCTAAAGTGCGGGTTGGTTGACTTCACACATATCTTTGAATTACTTCTCAGATATGTGCAGGTTGCATCACGATGTTTTCCTTCGCAGTAAGAACGTCGGATAAGTGTACATATGTAAATCGGAAATCGAAAAAGATATTGGTATATGGCGGGATTCGAACCCAGGACCTGCAGATTGCCAGTCAAGTGCTTAACCCATGAGCCACAGACGCTCATTTAAGTGTGAAAGTCATAATCGGTCAATAATAGGAATAGTAAAATGTATTATAACTGTTTTCAGGTGTTATGCGAAGGTCACCCCGAGGAGCTGGCGACGTATCTCCGCTACGTGCGCCGGCTGGACTTCTTCGAGACTCCAGACTACGACCAGCTGCGGCGCATGTTCCGTGATCTGTTCGAGAGACGCGGATACGTAGATGACGGCGAGTTTGACTGGACCGGCAAGACGATGGTAAACAACACCGCCTAGCCCACGCTTAATATACGCTAGCCCACGCACTAACGACTAGCCCACTCTAAAACACCGCAAGTCCACGCTTTATCAATGCTAGCCCACGCTTAAACATCGCAAGTCCACGCACTCCCTTGATTTGACACATTCGCAAATTCCACTTTGATTTAAGACTCGAATTTACCTACTAGTTGATCTGTCACCGTCAAATTACTGTCAAATTGATTTCATAGACAAAAGTTTTTTTTACTCGGGGTCCTTGTGGTAGTTTTCAGCTTATTCAAATTTTTACTTATAATAGTATTATCCAATCAATGTAATTTTGTTAATATCTTTAGATTGGGTAATATTTTTGTAATACGAAGCAAAAAAACACATGACCCCAAGTATTTTTAGTAATTTTAATTCAATGTCTTTTCATAATTCTCACGAATATAATATATTCAATTAAAATACATTCGAGAGCTCTGACGTCATAATAAATTGTATCATTATTTATTTCACATTGTTCAATGTATTTTATTCCTTATAAATGGTCTTTTGCTTTATAAAATCGTTAATTCACTAATCTTTGACCGCTTTCAATAATCACTAATTAAAAAAAAAAACATTTTTATCATTTAAATGATTAGTTACTAATTTTATTTCATTATTTTATTCTTTTTTTAAATTGCCAGCAATATTACAATGAGCTTTATGTTGAAATTTAATTTAATTTCTTTAGTTTTTGAAACACTATTTAGTGTTGTTTATTTTGTCTATTTCATAGTATATTTAAACTTTTTACAAGCAAACACCGTAGTACAAGTTCAGTTAAGTATATAAAAGAAATAAAATCATAGAAAAAATTTATGTAATAGCTGTACATGTAGGAACAATATTCTTGCTTTTTGACGGACGTAAAAAGACAAGGATAAGAATATTGTTTTTATACATGTATTGTGACAATCAAAACTCAGCGTAACAAAAAGTTCATTGTATTTACTTAACTTTATGACTTAAGGTAAAAAATATTTGGTGTTATTGGTTTTTAAAACAAATATTTTATAATTTCTTGTTATTACTAAATTATCTAATAATTATTACTAATATAATAATTTAGAATAAAATTGGCATTTATATCAAGAAACTTGTTACTTATAGGAATTATTATTATTAATAGTATTCTTTAAAAAATAAACATTGTCCCTTTACAAATTGTGTTTCTGTGTAATGTTGTGTTTTTTAATTTTATTTTTTTATTGTGGCTTTTTATTTTTAACTTAAAGGTTTGCTATATCAACAAACATCGATAAATTGTTGACTTCATATTTTAGCAGTGAGTTTTCACTGCCGAAACACGTATTATAATGACATTTTTTGACATCTGATGCAATTAATAAGAATTAAACTCTTGAATAAAAAAATATTCATCGATTTTTTAAATTCGTTTCCGATATATCGATTTTGAATGTTATAAATGCAAAAGTTTGTATGTATGGGTGTTTGTTACTACGGATGTCCAAATCAGTTTTACGGATTTCGATGAAATTTAACACAGATATAGAACATAGTTTGGTCGAATACATAAACTACTTGCTATGTTTTTTTTTTAATTTGGCGCGGATGAAGTCACAAGCAAAGCCTAGTTTCCTTAATTTATAAATAATATTTTTAGCAACTTGTTTTTTTTTTTGTTTTCGTGTCTTGATGTTTGTTGAATGGTATATGTGTTGGGTTATGGTTTATGTATAACAATAAAGAGGGAATGTTGCATGCCGCATGCTTACCGCTTTTGTGCCGACGTCAGCCCGCCAATATGCACGTCATGAGAATATTGCGCAACGCACCGCCATCTAATATTGTCAGAAATAAATCTGACAAGGTTAGTACAACAATTTGATTTATAGATTAAATTGAAACATCACTAACTGACACAATCAGAATAATATACTAATTATCACTAAGGCATTTTATTGATTTATTAACTAAAAAGGCACTAAGGGTCTTCTTTAGTGACGATTAAAGTATTTTTGAGTGAGAGTTATATATTATATCTTACATAAATTATTGAACCGTATTATCGTTTTTATCGTATTTTCTTATGCAGTTGAATGCAACAGAGTTTTACATATTAAAAGGTAGTTTTTTTTATTATAAAATATGGCGTTATATTTGAGTTATTTCTTCTGTCTTGTACTATTATTTTTTAATTTAAAAAATTGCTTTAGTTCTATGAATTGTTGTTCTTAGTTAAAGTCTGTAGTAAAATTGTTATTAATTTATATTTGATTTTAAACTTATCATTATAAATGTGTAACGTAATTTAGTTATCTTAAACTAGGTTCTTTTTAGTTAAAAATATTGTACTTTCACTTTTTTACTTGCATATTTTTTTTTACTTATCGTTTTGCCTTGCAGTCAACACCGGTGGGCTCAATCCAGACTGGGCACGAGATCGTGGTGTCGCCCAACCGCGACCGACATCAGCCTTTCCACAAGGTTAGTTATTAAAATCAAATAATATCATACAAAATATGATTTTTATTATTTATTTCTATGTTAAAATGCTAAATCAATTTGTAACTGAGTATTACAATTTTTAATTAAGTTTATTACATGACAGATTTTATTGTCACTAGCAATTAATTCTGACAAAGTCAGATAGGTGACATAATTAGGCATACTATTGTTAGGAAGAAAATCTGACACTGTGCCAGTGTACTGGCGCAACACTAGCCTTACTAAAATGTCGTCGTTTATGTCCCCTCACTAATCATTCTGACACTTGACTTTGTAAGGGAAGCGCGCCATTTGCGTCAAAGGATTCTAATTGATAATGTCTAAAGCTAGTGACGTCATCTGACTATGTATTTTTGTGGGTGCAGGATGAGTTGTGTGATTATATTGTTGGTTTGGATGAGGATGATGAGGCGGCCCTAATATACGTCGAGGTTTGAAATGTTTTTGTTTTGTTGTCTTCACAGCAAACATCTTTTTGTGTAGACATGATGTTTCTTCGCTTTTCACATCATCTGTAAATGTCCATACAGATTCGTACATTTAATCAATATGATATTTTACTTCTGTCCAAAGTAAACAGGCGAATATGACAAAAAATGTAAATATGTTTTTATATGTTTGTAAATATAGGAGAATAAAACATTAAATTAAAGTAATTTCGAAAATGTCATAAATTATATTTTCCATATTATGTGGAACATGATTTTAATGGAATTGTCATTTTCATTATAAAATGTCAGCTAACGACATCTGTTGATGGCCAGTCATTGCTAGTCTGCATTTGTCTCATTGTTTGTGGTTTTTTGGAAATGATTATAAAATTATTGTCCATTTTTATTTTTATAATTTTAATGATGCTATAGAAGTAACATTTATGTGATTCATTTGTTTTATTTTTTTTGTTGCGTTTATTTGTGATGGTTAAATGCTAATGAATAGTAAAGTTAATTGTATATGTGGTTGTACCAACTGGATAGGCCAACGAGCAAGTAAAATGTTATAAGAGAACTTTATAGTCGTTTCAAAGATTTCAATTGTAAAGCAGTTAGGATAAAATTTTTATATGTTCCGTTTTTTATTTAAAGGGAGCCGTTAAAGATACTGGAACGGGTGGCACCGCCAATACTGGCGGTAACTGGCCTCACAGCGGGAAAGCCACGCCTCTAACTGCAGGCCATTTGACCCCAGCTGATCGGCATGGATCTGTACAGGTGAGAAACAAACATATATTATATGTCCAAACGAGTAGAAACATGTTTCTAATCTTTTGGTAGTATTTTCGAGCAGAAACATGTTTTTAATAATTTCTGTTTCTCTTCGTTTTTAATTATTTTAAAGTCTAGTTGCTATTGGGATTCGGTTTCAATGAAAATTTTCACTCTTTATAGTTATTGCTCAATAAACCACCTCGTTATTACGGTGTTTTATTCCAGCTACTTTATATTAGCACTTATGTGAAAAAAAATATTTTAGCACTACAGTTAGATAAACAGTTTTCTTTTTAAATTAAATAATAATTCGCCAGTTTACTATTTGTACTTTGAAATAAAAAAAAAACAATTAGTCTTTTTTATGTGTCTGCATGATTTTTTTTGTTTCTCGATGCATCTAAATTTTTGTTCCTTTACACGTAAATGTATATTTTGGTGTATTTATTTTTTTTAGCTATTGAAGAATAAGCATTTTCGGTATGTGAAATTTCCCGGATCCGTTTCCACGGTCAGTTGTGAACATTTTGCGACAATCCTTGTTGTGACTGTCTGCATGATCGTGAGTTTTCATTGCAGAAATATTTGTAAGAAAACATATTGCTATCCCTCTCATTCTATTTGTAGAAACAGTGATAACAATATGTTTTATATACATGTTTCGGCAGTGGAAACTCACGGTGAACGCTTTGTTATTGAAGCTCAGTGGTTGTATAGCTTTGCACCGTTGCCTGTGTTGCCATTGAATATATATATGGCACATATAATCGATCATTATATTACTATATTATTGATCTGGATATATATTTACAGGGTGTTCTATTCATCACTATCATATTTGTCATATTTTTCATCAACCATAACATTTAATGGTCAACAATTCTTCATATCATTTAATTTATTTGCTTGTTACATAGGGAAGATAAAATAGGTCACGTGGTATGGGACCACGTGACCTATTTTTTTTGTTTTTTCGACCCCTCGGTGACCACTCGTATATGCCAAGCCCCCCCCCCCCTTTAGTTTTTACGTAGTAATTCGTAATTATGATTTTTAATCATTTCACAGGTAAAAATTGGAAAAGAAAATATTTGGCTCATACTCTTCTTTATAGCATAAGACTGCATGCATTCTTAAATTATTATACTAGTGAATTACGTACTATGAATAAAAAACAAGTAATGATTACGTGACTAAAATCTGAGCCCCCCCTCCCGCTCCTGTGACTGACC